ACAGGGTGTACTTTGAGGGTTTTGACTCTGCAGACCGTTTACATGCATAAAAACCTTCATAACACACAAGGGGACGGGTAATAACCGGAAAAGCATGACATGTGACCTTTAAGTAATGGTAATGAATGGCACTGCTGTAAGAGGGCCAAATAAACTGTAGGAATTAGCAAGCCAGACATTCTAAACAATTGAGGAAAAACCAAAAGGAAAATAGAAGCTGAATTGGAAATTTTTTGACGTGCATTATCACAGACCATCTCATCTTCTTCAGTCAATTGAAAGGGCCCAGCTGAGGCTTATAAACAAGCACTTACCCAAACTTCCTGATGAACTTGGTGAAGATGTTCTTCAGTTTGGTTCTGAAGTGCCTCCTCACATCGTCTTTGATGCTCCCAACTCCCTCCATCTGAACACAGAGAGTGACATCTGTATTAAATCAGGGCGCAACTGTCTCTTACAGTAGAAATGAGTATCAACAGGGACAATGCCTACCATGACAGAGGCATGGGATGCGAGCGTCTTGGGGTCCATGATGAAGAGGATGACCTTGATGAAGCCTAAGGCGGCTTTGACTATCTCCCTGGTACGAGAGGTGAGCAGCAGACAGATGTTGTGCAGCAGCTGCTCCCTGGTGTTCGTGTCTATAGCGTCTGGGGAAGAAAGAAAAACAGACTGAATGCAGGTCACAAATCACAGCATTCAAAAGCACCAACCGGAAATGAGTGAAAGTCTGCAGACCTACCTTTATATTCAAACATCAGTCGAGTTAGAGCCAACACTGTGCAGGTGATCATGGTGACGGAGCCTGTGAGTCCTGCGTACACCAGCATCAAATACTCCTCCAAGGCATCTGGATAAGAGCCACATACTCCATTAGTATTTTAAACTAAATATGTGACTTGCGTCCACATATACAAAACTGAAGGAAGACAGATGTGTTACCTTTTGTGTTCCCACAGAAGCGGACAAATGCTTTTCCTATTTCCACCAGCAGAGTGTAGGCATTCTTACGCGCTCCAGCAGACACCTCCTTGGTGCATATAATCACCTGACAGAGAGCAAACACATTCAATTTATAAATAACAGTATGTCAGATAACATCAGTATCAATGTGTTTGTTTTCATTTGTGTTTTGACCTCTGGCAGAAGGGCTGGGATAAAGTCTTTGTGTTCTTCAGTGAGCCCCTTCACAATGTGGGTCAGACACTTGAGTCGTGGCTGAGCAACACAAATAAAAGATACAATTAGAAAGTGCAATAAAACATTTTTTTTTAAATCAATCACACCTAGAGTTGGTTTGATTTCATTTCTCTCTACACAGCAGGCTCACCCTTTTGGCCGGCGATGAGGCCTTCTTCAGAGTGTCGAGCAGGACCACTTTGAGTGTTTCCAGATTGGCAACGACAAAGGATCTGCACTCCTCTCTCTCTCCTCCACACATCTCCTCCAGCACACGGTATGCCTTCTTCTGCATGCCTGCCTCTTTGCACTACAAAACAAACGTAACAAAAAGACACAAACAAATGAATTAATTTAGCTTTAATTAAAAACTGGAAAGCGATTAAGCACACTCTGTATACCCTTACCTCCAAATATGGCCTAATCAGCTCAAAGGTTTTAGTCATGGTGGCCACATCTACAGCAGGAGCCATGGCCACCACAAGGTCCATCATTGACAGCCTGAGAGAGAGAGAGAGGTTCAATAGAAAGTTGTACTCATAATTCAATTACATAATAAACTGAGGCAAACATAATTCTACAGCAATATGTCTGTATTTATGTCCTACCGTGTGAACTCTGTGGTGTCCGAGCTGCTCAGTTTGTCTGTGGCTTTTTGCAGGAACGTGCCGACCAGCTGAGGATGAGCGTTTGATTAGTGATACACCGGCACAATAAATATGGCCCATCACAGTAAAGACAGACAATACAAATCATCAGTTCTTTATGAAAGAAAACTAGCAATGTTTTTTCAGAATGCTGTGTTTAGTAAGTTCATAGTTAAACATAAATTAAGTTAACAAACATCAAGTGCGTTGTCACTGCACCACATGTGAACAAACTGAACTGACCTGTGTTTCAGTGACAGTTAGGTAGACCTTGATGGTGTCTAGTACGGCCATCCTGTAGGTGGAGGACTCTCCAGCTGCCGGCTGCTGGCCGTACACGTTGAAAAGGATTGGCAGGAAGTTCTTGGAGAAGCGGCCCACTTCAGCCTTTTCTTCCTCTACAGAAATAAAGTACACACAAAGGATTTTGAAATGATTTGATTCAAGAGAAAGTCGCCTGTATGCGTTGTCTCTCTATGGAAACATGAGTGTCTTCCTACCGGTGGAGCAGCTCTTGTTGACGACAGTGCGTAGAGCCTGGCACACTGTGAGCCTCAGGTCCGGTCGCTCGTTAATAATCGTACCGAGTGTGCGGGCTAAGCCTTTGAACGAAACCAGCAGGTCTACAGGACACGTACAGAAACCAGGAAGCATGGTCCAAATCTGAAAGACAGCATACAGACATGCACTTTAAAAAAAATACTCTTGACTGTGAACCCATCAAAGTTATGTCCGTGTAGAGCTACCTGCGTCTGTAATGTCCCGTAGACTTTGGCCTCAAGTTTATGTCCTGGTTGCTCCAATTCATCAGCTACAAAACAAAGTTATCAAGTTAATACCTAGCCATCATATTCCCTCTAGCCTAAAGTTGAGCCTCACACACGTGTTTACCTCTCTGCTTGAGTGTGGAAGCCAGAGGGAGGAAATAAGAAGAGAAGAAAGCGAGGTGAGTGTTCTTCACGTGATCCCGTATGACCGGGATCAGCCAACTGCGAGGGAACTCCAAGTCATCCCTGGTGACAAAAAGCAACAGTCCGTTGAACCACTTTAATGACAGGAACATTGCCCCACAGTGTTTCCTTCAAAAAATGCATTAATCTTGAGTTGAAGCCTTGCCCTTACATTATATTGTTTGGGGTTCCAGAAAACATTTTCACTTTGACTGCCAAACAAGGTGATGTGGTGGCATATACAATACATTACATGTTAGACGCTTTTATCCAAACCGACTTACATACTCAATACTGTGGGCAATCCCCACAGGAGCAATTTGGGGTGAAGTGTCTTGCCCAGGGACACAACGACATGCTGACTGCAGTGGGGTTTGAACCTGATCCGAACACCAGAGCACTAACCCACTGCGCCACACACCTTCCATAGATCTCTGTTAGCTCGTCGCAGAATTGTATTAGATTGGAAATCCCCTAAGCCCCCGTCTTACTCTATTTGGCTTAAAGGCCTGGTATTCTTTCTGAAACTTGAGAAAGTAAAATGTACTCTTAGAGGCTCTGTAGACAGTTTTTATAAGAAATGGCAATGCTTGATAGATTATTTCAACAACCTCCATACACTCCCGACCTGATGGCGGGAAATTATTTATCTTTTTATACATCTTCTTATTTATATTTGTACTTACTGATCCGTTTTTACTTGCCATATTATTTACTTATTGTTGTTTATATAATTTTTTGTCACTGTTTTTATTTTTTATATTTGAACGTGGAATCAATGTTTAATTTTTTTTATTAAACTTTTCAAGGTGGGGTGGGAGGGGAGGAGATGGGTGGGGGGGTGGTGTTGGTTTGTTCTAAAAATGGATGAAGGTCATCGTCTCAATTGTAACCCGGTATGATTGTGCCTGTTCTTCAATTAAAAAAAAAACATTGGAAAAAAGAAAGAAAGAAATCATTAAATCACACTTACTCAAAGCCGGTGATGTTGAGAGGAACAGCGCCCAGCACCACTTCAGGCCCCATGCTCGCTACAGCACCTCCTACAGCCAGGTCCAACTCTCCGATGAAGGGGAAATGAGGAGTGGCGCGCAGGTCTGCTAGAGACTGCAGGGACTGTCCGGAACATAACACAAACATTCAGGCAAAGTTCTACCTCTAACTCACAGTAATGTACAAATGTAAGTGGCTTTACCTTGGTCATGATGGGGTGAGCACGTTTCCCTATAGACCGATAGAAGCAACCCAGGATCTGCAGCACAAATGGCCAGGAGGCATGGTAGCGATAGGACAAGCCTTCCTCTACGATGCTGAAAAACAGATACAATTATCATGGTAAGCATTCACAGGAAGTCTCTGAATAGAGAAGTGGAAAGATTGAGACCAGGGTGCTTACCGAAACATTTTGCAGACATAGGATGGGTTCCCTGCAGAGGCTGTGGCAGTGATCATGCCCATTTCCTCCATGTGAGGGGCTACACATTCAGTCAGCAAAGTCTGAAACAGATACACATAATGTCATAAAATATGGCCCCTGCATACACTGTTAAATAAAGGAAAAGCAACAACTGATTGGTCAACTGGAGTTACTCAATGTGGATGGATAATATCTTTACCTTTAGTGTATTGGTTGCTGCAGAAGCCACCTGTGTATGAGGCGACAGCAGGCAGGACATGGCAGCAGAGAAGAGGCGAGGGAGGTGACCAAAACTCAAAGAGCTCTGCAAACTACACAAAGACACACAAACTGTTGATCTACCTTTCCAATCTGACTGGAAAACACACAATTACAACAGAAAAACATGATGCTACTATGAGAAAACACTGTATTACCCTGCCAAGTGAACATGTGCTTTCTCCATGACAGCGAGCCAGGCCAGCAGCGGCTGCAGGTCGTTCTCACTGGGCAGGTAGTCGTACAGAGCCTGACGATGGGAAATGGCATATTAGCTTTCAAACCATATTTTGTGTTATTCATTTTCCATGTTTGTTTTATTCTCTCACCGTGATGATCTGTGCGTTGAGTTCTGGTGAGAGGGTTGCAGCATTCGGCTTCCCGCTGAATAGCCTATGAAAGGACTGCATGGCACTCGCTGTCACCAGCTATGGACAGAAGAATAGCAGCCATGTTAGACACTACACTTTGTATCCATGATAAGAACAACAACCGATGCATGTTTTTGAGCTCTCACCACATGGCTGAGTGTCATCACTCGCAGCAGAGTCTCACAACAGGACTTGACCGCTCCCAGAGGAAACGTCCCCATCAACTCCTTCAGAAGACCCAGCACATGAAGAGTGGTGGTGTCCTCTTTGCTGCCTGGAGGGGTAAGAAACATACTTAAACTACAATATACAGGACAATTTCAAAAGCATATATTAAACTATTTAATATCCCACAATAAGAAAACAAATTATGTTTGTCTTACCTCCTGCCTGTTCCATTTCTTTCATGCAGAACTTGGCTGTGGTTCCTGCTGCAGGGTGATGGGTCGGGGCATTATCTCTAAACAGGAAGTCGCTACCTCTGAGAATGGAGCAGACTCCTTGCTGTGCAGCTTTACGGACCTGGGAGCCACAATGGATAGAAAATGAAATGTAAAATAATTGTACATTTTTAGCTTCTTATTCACTTTTCAATACTTATGAGGTGTTTAGTAGCAGGCTTGTGAGACAGACCTTAGGCTTGCTGTGCACTGTGAAGCTGAGCAGTCCGTGGTAAGCCTGAAGAGTAGACGGGTAAGTCCAGACAGATACATCCTGCTTCCTCAGCAAAGTGGCCAGGCATGACAGGATCTAGAAATGCAGTAATGACAAACTCAATCTATGCTGCAGTTTTCATCATCGAACATTATAAAAAAATAAATAGAAAGAAGTGTACTCACCCATCTGAGCGCAGAGGCAGACTCAGACGTGGCCTGTTTGGACATGACGTCCATCAGAGCCTTGGTGGTGTCAGAGAACTTAGACATGAGCACTGGAGCCGGAACCCTGAAGAACGAAACACCAATCAGATGAAAATCATTTCAAGTCATTAGCCTTGACGTGAATGGGAGTTTTGTTTTGGCAAGAAAAGTTGTTAAAGTTTTACCGTTTCATGACAAGGTTGAGGAGATACGCCACTGCAGCCTGAGACTCTGTCGTATCCACGACCTCAAGAGTGGTCATCTACCATAAGCACAAACACGCTGCATTTTCAGATACAACACCAAGGTTTATTGTAATCTTCAACACATACAGTTAGTGGTTATGTCTTTGTAAATGTTCCTTTTAAAGCAGCACTCACCAAAGCAGCAAAGTACTCTGTTTCAGTCTCCTTTCCTCCTTGACTACGGATAACCTCTGTAACAGCTGCCAGTACCGCACAGATCTGTAAGGAAAATCTGTAAGTAATACGTATACACTTGAAAATATTGTGTTTGCACCGTTAAATCAACTCTTACAAATGTCATCAATACATTTTCAAAGCTACCCTCAACGTTTTAGCCTTTCCTCCTAATGCAAAAAGGCTTTTTCAATGCACCAAAACAACAAGTTTTCATTACAAGTTACCCTAATAAAGATATTTGTTGATGGAGTTATGTGTGAATGTACCATCAGTGGAGTACCTACCTCTTTGTGAGCAGCTGAATTGGACTCCCAGTAGCGCTGCACCTTCCTGAAGGTCAGGTTGGAGCAGTCGGACAGGCCGCTGAGGAAGGTTCCTGACGTCCTATCTGAAAACGCCTCGTCTGGCTCCTCTTCCATGCGGGCATCCTTACGGCTACCAATCTCAAGCGGACCAGCCTGCAGATCATTGTGCAGCTTCAGAGCATCAACTGTTAGGTCATTCCTTCCTGTGGGGTAAAAAGATGGAGAGAAACAACACCATTACATTAAGCCAACTTCCACATACACAACGCTTTTATATATTTTGCCCCCACATTTTAGGACAATGAGGATGAATGATGATAAACATACAGCGATATTTAACAAGACATTTTAAGGTTTGTAAATAACATTGATTCAAAGAATCATGCATTTATTTGGCTGAGGATTAGACTGATGGCAATCAACCCCTAAATCACAGTGGAAGCAAAACTTACAAAAAGTGTACTTTAAACCTTATTTTGTACTTCTGGCAGTCAATAACAGCAAATTGTAAAAATTGATATTAAATATGACGGTAAAAAATATTTGTACCAAGGAATCTAGGCATTATGTATAATAAAATGTTATAATTTCTACACAAACTCCCTCAAGTTACAGCTTTAAGTCCAAACTTCAGAGTAATCAATAATACATTAAAAGTATATAAAAAACAGAAAACATATACGAAAAATATAAATCATGTAAAATCATGTGCATTTTGCTCATATAACTATGACATAAATTGTTACTACAGGGATTCTACAATAAAAAATAAATAAAGTAATAAGAATAATAATGCTAAAAATTAAGTCTATCATAAAGACTGTTAAAATGCAACAGAATTAGATACACATATTAGTTGTTGTATACCGTAAATAAATGCAGAAATACAAAAAAGTAACCCATGGTAAAACTGTACGTCACTGGCCAATTACTAACAATGTATCTTCACTTTTATTGTCAATACTGTCATTTTGTAAGTGCTGCCTGTATGACATCAGCAATATGAATAGTTATCTGTCTATCGACAGTTAAACATGTGTGTGTCTCTCAAACACAGCAGTTGTTATCATGAATAACCAAACACTTAACTGAGTGTTATTACAAAATAATCAAAGAAAAAAGACAGAAAGATATTTAGATTTTAGGTTCTTAATTGCCAACTATTTTGAGGTTGATGATGAACACTTAATGGCATTTTATGTAATGCTAGCTGCAAGTTAAATGGCTGACGCGAGCTAAAGTTAGCAGTAGCTACGGACCCACGTGTAATGTTAACGGGAGGCTTACCGGAGGGTCGGCTGAAGAAGCGGCTTTTTGCAGCCTGTCGGAAGCGACTCGTCTCCGGGTTTGAGTCGCTGCTGTGTCCCTTCTTCCATCGTTTTAGTTTAGTCCCCGTCCCAGATCGAAGTTTCCCTGATTTGACCATTTTCGGGGTTGAAAATAATCACGTTACCCCAACTGTCTGCAGCTGACGCGGTCGCTTACCAAGTGACGTCACGTGTCTGGCCTGGACATGCAGTTGTTTAGCCAATAGATGGCGCCGTTCAGTTATACATTACCTAAACAGCACACACAATAATAAACAGTTTAAAGTGAAATGTATTATATTATAATAAACAAAAAGGCCACCATATTTTTACATCCATACCTCAGTCCTTTTTTAATGTCTCTTGTCTTTCTATTTTTTGCTCTTACTCTGACTGATTTTTCTGTTGCTTTTCCAATCCGTGTATCTACCGTCCAATTGTTTTTCTTTATTAAACACGTAAATGGAAGAGCGTCTGAGTGGCGTTTTTGCTTTTTGCTCTTTACCTTACTAAATGGTCAAATGGTCATTGGAGCGAGGGGCGGGGAGAAACTCACGGAAGTGATTTCAAAACAAAAGCCCTCGTTTGCTTGGAACGGTGATAATATTATAAACAAGGTGAATTTAGCGATCACAGCGAAAACGGCCAAGAAACATATTGAGCCCAGAAAACGAATGTTATTAAGGGCTGTAAATATAATAAGCATATATCTAAAATGGTTGTTGTTAGGAGATTTAAACTATACAGCGATTCTGCACTGCGGTCAATCAGCCGTCTCTCGAGTTTGTTTTTTCAAATCAGCTGCTCTTCATTATTCCTGCTATATTTGACGAGTGATACAAATATTTGTTACCACAAGCTCGTAAGGAAACTGACACTGTTGGACTCGGTTCTAGTTTGACTGCTACCAGAAATAAAATGAAGTACTTTTACTATGTAGGCTACTTTGTGAGTAATCCTCTGTCAAAGTCCCCTCCATAGTAGCCTACATAATGCATGTTTTTCTGCTATCTTTGATGAATGATACAAATATAATGTCACCATTAGTTCTTAATGAAATTGATACTGTTGGACTTTGTATTAGTTAGCCTACAACTAACAATACATTTAAGTACTTTTACTGTGTATTTTTTGAGAAATACTCTGTCAAAGTCCCCTGCTGAGAACAAAATCAAGCCACTTCTGCTAAGTTTGATGAGGG